AAAAATAAAAATGCCCTCAAATACCCAGATGATGGCCGTGTTGAATGTTTATCTCAATTGGAGGGGTTCAAAAATATTTTTAGATGCCACCCAAATGTCCATCAAAATCCAAAACTCTGAAAATTCCAAAATCTTAAGATCAAAAAAATATTTAAAATTGAAATCCAACTATCAAACACTTAAAGTGAAATTCATCCATCATCCACAACAGTTTGTCAGGGTGGACAAATTAAAAACTATTTCAGCTCACATTGAGCTAATGCCTAGTCGAAAATATCACTAGGATTCATTCTCAAATAGTCTCCTGCCAGTAAGGACGTGGTACGTATCCTTTGACCGGTAGTTTTGCCGCAAAATGGCACTGCATGATAAACGATTATGATCCAGGGCCCTCTGAACAGAGTGGTTTTATCGCCAAATGGCACCACGAAATACTGGTTATGGCCAGCGCCGATATGTTTCTTATATGCATTAAATCCTTGAGACATGAATCAATAGGATATGATTGATAGGGCACAAAGCCCTTTGTTAGCTAAGGTGGATTCAAATTTGTCCCTTTAGATAAACATTCAACCCAGGTTTACAAGATACCCTTGGACGAAGCAACCCTTGGTTACTGACAAGAATCCTTCTGTTAGGTTGGGTCGACTACCTCCTCTAACTAAGTGGATCAGGGACCACGATGGCCCGGGATGACGGAACCATGGGATCTTAATCGGGTCTATCATCTATTCTCTCACCATCCTCTTTAAGTACTAGATGGTGAAATTTCTTTTTTAAATATAATACCTTCAATTTTCCAAATCCAAACCCGTGCTGCTACTATGGCTAGATACCACGTATTATATATGTATCTGATTTATGACTAGCCTTAATTGAAAGTTCTCTCCCATTATTGGGATGGGTAATTAAGTATAGGGGCTTGTGCCTATAGAAAATCAGAACTCAGATCATAAAGTCCTCACAAAATGAGGGCAAAATATCTGGGTAGTGTCTTATCTACAAACTCATCTGCCTTCCAAAATTTACCCCGAAACTTAATTCCGTTAAAACTCCCTCGTCGAAGAAAAATAAAAATAAAGTGGGAGGAGGTCGGGGCCGAATTTTCGGAGCCCACAAGGATTTTGTAGTAGAACTATATGATGTGATGACTAAAATTACAAACAAAAGATAAAAAAGTTAGAATTCCCAAACTATCAATTTAAACAAATATTCATCTCTTCTGATAAAAATACAAACAAAAATAAAAGCACAAAATTTGGGCAAGTAATAATTAAATGATTTTCTAAAAGAAATTTTGCATGGAAATTTAGGATTATGAAAATTTATTCATCGATAAAAAAATCACACCCTAATAAAGTGATAGGAAATACTTGAGTTCGCAAGTAACCCTAAGGGAATACTTGAGTTCGCAAGCAAACCTATAACTAATTGGAGATAAAACAACGAGAATTCAGCCAAAATCTGGGCGAAATCAGCCCCAAAT